ACTAGTAAATTTATACTAAAACAATTAGATTATTCGCTCTTGATTTCTATGCGTGATAGTTGACGAGGGCACACACGCGATTGAATCTCGAGCTCATAATCTAATTGTTTATTAGTATAAATGTACTAGCGTTCTATCACGAATGCCGTTCTCTGATTGGCTACGCTATTCACCCGCAGGAGCCATAATCGGGGACGAAGACCGTAAGCGCCCGCCATTTCTAGTATTGGGGCTGTCCCTATGATATAGGACAATTTTTCTATTTGTAGAACAAATTGGGCCATCCCGTGAGGCACACGCGCGTACATGCTGCGAGGATTTTGGCGGATGTAGCGCGGGGAATTGGCGTTCGAAATTCCCGAATTGTTTGATGCTTTTGACCCACAACTCAATACGTTCATGTCTGTTGGAATTTTACTTCAGTATTTTCTTCGTAAGCTGCTCCAGTTTGAGTGAAGTAAGACAGTGTCGAATTTAGTTATGTACCACTTTATGATATCACTGACCAAGTTGTGTTCCGCTGCTTCTTTTACAAGAGCTCCACATTACTCCACTCTAAGTTTCACATATGTTGAAGATTAACAGCTTTTCCAAAACACAGCAAAAAACTAGTTGGATATATTTGGATATACCAGCGTTTCAGGACTTCAAAGTTTCCCTCCTCTTGCCATACGCTTGCGAGGATTTCGCCAGAGTCTATCTCGACCGAACAGTAAAAAAAAAATAATTGCAAGTTTGAGTTTCTCCTGAATTGTAAGCAATGCTTGATTTCATTTTTTATCGTTTTTCATGTTTTATCGTGGCCCAATAAGTGACAATAAAGTTTATGTCTGTAGGTGCTGCTCAGTTTTGTTTGTGTAAAAATCCAATAAATTGTCTGTTGTCGATGAATAAGAGCGCCCGCCGACGCGAGTTTTGTACAGTCAGTAAAACATGACAAATTGAACTTCCCCACTTTCGTGTGAAAACGTACATCGAACTTATATAATATCTCTAATTTTTAAATATGTTTAAGGTTGATAAATGTTTGGGAACATATTAAAAGCTTAGCTGAAAATACTTGAATACAGCAGAAATAATCAGCAAAATTACGATGACGCTTTCTTTAATCAACTCGAACAGAGATTTCGATTTTGTTGGTTGAGTTATCAAAACTCCTTACCTATTTTATTTTCGCAGTGTAAAATTTCACTATGTTAAAGAAACACACATGACGTAAGTAACCTTTTGGCGTTGTTGAAAATTGTTGGAGCATCTCCGCACCAAAGACAACGAAAGAAATCTTTGTCAAGATTTGTTGACAATTGAAAACACCGACTCGGACTCGAGACAGAAAGTGCACGCGCTGCACTCTGCAAATGAGCTACTTGTACGCGTCAGACTTTCCTTTCGAAAACTTTTGCAAAGTCGCCAAACAAACAGAAACAATAAGAAACTATCAAAACAGGGTTTGGTTATGATCATGGATAGTAAAGAGACTGGATTGGAAACTAGCTCGCGTCACCGGTTCCAATACAGTGGAAATTCGTGACGTCACTGTCGCAAGCTAAATTTTATTTTTGCAGAACTTTGTTTACACTACAC